GTATATATATATATATATATATATAGTAGATGACGATTTCATAATAAATGAGCAGGGTATAATGCTGTGAATAAAGTAATTCGAGAAACGAGCAAGTAAAAATTAATTGATGAAGAGTTATAAAGCTGTTATAAATGGGCATGACATAGAATGCAGAACATTAATCGCTGATCAGACTTTATTTGAACGATTTGCCAAAACATGTTGTCCCAGACGCGAGCCGTGAAGCCACGTGATGTACGTTTAACACATATATATAGACTTGGTTCACGGTAATTACTTGACCATACTCTCGAAAAAGAATATTCATACAGGGAGATTGTTAAACGATTCATAGCTAAAGGACACGACATTGTTCTCCATGAAACAGAAAGTTTCTTACAACGTTAAGGACAACAACGGTCAGTAAAAACTACATCCTAACCCAATCTGTAACAACGCCCTTATCCTCAAAGTGAAAACTATGAAACAGAAACTTTCGCCCTCAAAACGCCAATGCGATGAAGCTGACCATAACTCCTGGTACCGTTAACCAAATAACAAACAAGGATTTTAAAGTAACGAATATCCACAAACAAAAAGTTCTCAAGCCTCGAAATCAGCATCTGTTTTTTATGAGAAAGATGGCCGAAGAAAACTGGAATCACAGCAATCCCTTTCAACCACATACCTGTCAAGTCGCACAATATAAGTACATTTTAATTTTAGGTTTTCAATTGTGATTAAGCGTAATCTTGGAAACCAATGTTTACGTACAGTGAATGATTGTTAAAGTGTATGGTCTAACATTGACCTCGCCTTCCTTCGCATCTTATTACAGTAGCAGTTGCTGTGTCCAGTAATAATGCGTGGTCATGGCCATCCTAGTGAGCACGATCAACGATGGAGTTTCAAAGGTAGCATAAGCCTATAATATCACTCTTACAAAATGTGATATCCTCAGCAGTAGATAGAGGAAGTATAGAAGGTAGATTAAGATCAATAATGAAGTTTATTTATAAAAACTTTGCTCCAATAAAGCGATTTCACGTGAAGAAAAAATGTTTTTTGATAAATATATTTCTGACGCCTATTTAACCGTTGTAGGGACAATGCAAATATATAATTTCCCTTTTTTTTACTTATCGTTTTCCAAAACGTAATTACTGTAGGCTTAAGAAAATTTTTAATAATTTAATTAACATTATCTTTCAGCAGAGGAGGCTATGTATTTAGAGAGAAACTAAAAATCAACCTGACAAGTTTTCTTGCGTTTCTTCTTATAAAGATTAGACTGCATCGTTTCGTCCGTAGGGTATCATCGACGATATTTTCGGTCATAATCCCAATAATATCTCACTAGAGTCGCCAGCTTAAGAGGTTTAGCTTGGTTATAAATACATATATTAAGCTAAAATGCAAAATAATCTTTATAATAAAAGTAGAATAATAAACAGTAAATAAAAATAAAAAGTAATGACATTCGATATACAAAGAAGTATAACCAACACTGTTAATGAAAGTAGCAATAAGTAAATAATATTGTACATCTTTCTTAGGGAACACAGAAACACTCTCTCGATTTGTTTTTTGGTATTTTCAATCCGAACAGAACTTTATGCGGTACATATACTAAAATGCCAGGTCAGAGACCCGAAGGTTTAGGCATAAACCATCTCTAATTTAGAGCTATAGACCAGATAGAGAGAAACCAGTCAGCAGCAGGTGTCGCCTAAACGGCTATACTCTTAACCAAACAGCGGGATTAGCCATTGTGGCCATCACAGTGAGCACGATCGACAATGGTGGTGGAAACAGCTTGGAGAGTATTCATATCATGGCTCAAATCTTGGACCTCCCTAAACGCACATAAGCATGTTGAGAACTAGGCCGTGCCAGGCCTGAGTTGTTTTTTTTAACATTGTCTTGTTTCGAAAATTGTTTGCTCTTCTATCCTTTTTTTGACTGTAAAACAAACGTAATATTTACTTATATGAAAATTGTGACATTTATGCTTATCTTTCGAATTCATCTTTGACGTTGCTAGTTCTTTATTATGTGTCGTGACTGTAAATATCTTAACATTTCTTAGGTCCAAGTGCTGTAAGAAATGGAACAGATAATGAAGAAGGAACAGACAAAACTTTAGAGTTTTCGATATCTGATCTTCTAAACTCCCCCTACATTAAAATAAGTAAAGATCCTCCAAAACTGAAACTGATACTTGATCCCCGTCACATTCAAGATGCCGCTCGGTTAAGGAAGGAAGGGCAAGATATTAGCGAACACAATGTCGTAAGTCCTGATGTATGCCTAGGAATTGTTAAAGACCTTTACAGTCCCACCGGCAAGGGAGCCGCCTTGTTTGCCAAACGTAAGAAAAAATCCGAAGAATGGGTTGTAGACAAAGGAAAAATCAAATCCCTACAAGAGCACACAATAACAACCCCTGTTGAACAGAGAAGAACAGAATCTCCTTTCCTGGAAATGCCTCCACAACCATCAAGACTCCAAGAAATGCCTAAAAAGGTACGTTTCAAACTGGTCAAAAGTCCGTGGCAGGCAGCGCTTGAGTCGCCATGTGGTAGTTGTGAAGCAGCGTTTCTCGAAGTTTGGCCGGATAACCAACTAGACTTTGTAACTGAATCTGTTATTCGAGCAGCTGAAGCAAAAACTCAGAATTTCGCAACGGCAGTTGTAGACAAGAAGAACGAAACGATGTCAGTGCCTCCTCAACCAACCTATTTACGATTTCTGAAAACCTCAAGTGGTACCACTTATCAACCTCGGGCACCAAAAGGATGGACAGGCTACTCCACAGGTAAGGAATTTCAATTTATTAAGAGTAAAAAACACAAAAACCGACGTTTTTTGGCACAATGAAAGGTAAAATATTTATTATTACTTACAGTCGGCTAGTTTCGGTAACACAGTTTTTGTGTTTTTACTCTTAATATAGTAGCACAATGTGCCTGAAAAGAAATTAAGAAACTTAAAACTGAAACACAGTTAGTTCCCACTTGTTTGTTAAAATTATTGATCCAACTATAGTTTCGTGAATACAAACAGCCATTGTACTGTTTTATCTTTAAGTTTTTATAAGAAAAAGTCTTTTACCAACACAGCAGTTTTTTCTTTACTTTTTTAGCTATGAAAGGTCTTGATTAATATCTACAATCGATACATTTGTGATTTATTCTTATACAGTTGTCAATTTAAAGATATCTAACAGTTTATTGTATGAGTTGTTTTCTTCTTCCTTTTCATTTTGATTTCAGAATTTGTAGTGCCACAAAAATTCTTTATTTTAAAACAGATCCAAAGTAGCTGATAAAGCGTAATTCCTTCAATTGCATTGTTACAACTAGTATAAAATACCTGCGCTCCACTACGGGTTTCAAAGATCCCCCCCCCCATCATAATTTACAAAAGCCCCAATGTACAGATCAAGTTTCTCCATTATCTCTAGTTACTTCTATAGCTAACCCGAAAACAAATTCCGTTATAAAATTCGCCCGTTGTACTTGAGCACCTGCGCCATGTTATAAACCCTCTAGCTTGTGAGTGGAGGAGAGGGTATGAACATCCACAGAATCTTGAGGGGGCCACGAACAAAAAATACAATGCCAGATTTGGGTTCAACAACCTTAAAACCTATTCCTTTATTACATCACACTTCGGTGACCTTTCGGTTGCATTTTAGCTCCCTTGGTAGCCCCCTTGTTGTGGGGTTTACGTCATACAAATAAGAACAATCCCCTCCCCTACAGGCTACCTTGAGTCCACCTGCCAAGTTTGGTCCTGCTAGCTCCAAAACTGTGGGAGGAATTCGCGGACAAACAAGTTCACAAACACACTGTATGAATTGATATAGGATATGCTACAAGTATAAATGACAGCGAGTCGCTTAATAACAAAAGTTTTGTAGAAGTGGATGCTTTTGTAAACAAACGGTAAGCAACAAACGTTTTATGTAAATAGATTGTTTTGTAAAAACGATAGGCCGCCAAACAACGAATGATTTATGTTAGCGTATAATCTGATTTTGTTACTTTTTAAACTTAATTAGTAATTATTCGCCCTCTTTATAAAATTACTTCTGTGGAAAAGCATGTGATTAGAAAATACAATTAATTCAAATATCAAATTAAGACAAGTTTACTTATTCCAGCAACCTCTACTCTACCTCGTGCCCAAGACTCTCCATTACCTCTATCTCCAGGAACACAGGTGAAACCTGATTCTACAAAAATGACGTTCAGGAACTTCAATAACATTGCTAAATCTTGGTCGCTTTCAACGATTCAAACAGATCGATCTTTCAGACCTGTAAAACTTACCGTAGGCTATCTTATTTAATAGCATAATCATATCAGATCCTATATATATTTGATTGTTTTTAATAGATGTTTTCCCAGGTTCATAGAGACAATCTTCACTTCAGAGTCTCTACTTCTTCCAGATGATCTTATATTTACTTTTGTATAATCGAACAGTTGTAGGATGAGCGTAGAATTTTGTAATGTCTTGCAGCTTTAAATTAGGTTGTTATGTAGGGTTTGGTAGTAATGGTTTACAAGTGTACGTATTCATCAAACGAGAAATGTTATCACCATTATTCCTATTCTGTGTCAAAAGAAATACATCGTTTTTTCAGTGCACTATCTTTTTTTTTGTTTTTGTTTTTTATTTGAGCTCAAAACGACTATGTGTGATAAAGAATTCAAAATATTTATTATCTATTAATATTTATTCCCAGTGTCAAATTTGAAAACATTTCAAAACGAATTCTCGAATGAAATATTCAGATCTTGTCCTAAGCCTTTGCTTGTTAGCATACGATATATCTCATAGTTGATTGAGCTCTGATATTTACTTGCTACACCTTTCTCTGTATATCATTCCTATAAATCACTTCTGTATGATACTGACTTGTATATCATAAGTTGACGTAATAAAGAATATAATGTAGCATTAGAACTTTACTCGGGAAAGATAACATAACTTTTAGTGTCTTGTTTAAAGTATGTTTGATTTGTTTAAAGGCTCAAAAGCATAAACGATTATCAGCTGACTGGAGAATCGAACACCAAATTGTATCGTGATAAGTCCCGAAGTTACTGCTAAGCCACTGGAGAGTATTTAAACTATAACTTTGTACTTAATAGAATCTTGAAACAGGATTTTTTTTTAACGGGTGTTGTGGTGGTTAAGCCTAACGATAGTTAGGATTATTGTAAATTGTGCTTTTAAGTTTTGTTTAACTTCCTCAGCATCATAATTGTGTTGTAGTACCTGGAAAAATGAAATGTATTGCATGTAATTTTCGACCTTTTTGAGCTCGTGGACTTTTAGCATAAATATATTTTGAAACATAAACAATATTTGTGAGAACATGATTACTTAAATAAACGTGTAACAAAGACATACAGACATTCTCACTGGATTGCGACTTTTTTCTTTGCCTTGATCACAGGCGTCGCTAGGCACTGGCACGTGGGACCCGTGTCCTGATTCTAGTTGACGGTGCCCTGAATCTCCAGTTGGTATCTTGAAAACTCGGATTAGAAAACCATGATTGATATCATATTAAAGCGCCGAAAATTCCCGTGTCTATGGGCCTGATCTCCGAATCTTTTAAATATCTAACAACGTCTCTGGTCTTGATTAACGTTGTATGTGACATCTGAATTACAATACACATCTTAATAAATAAATAAGGAAACAAGTTATCAATTCTTCAACTAAATTTTGGTAACTTAGAAATTTAGAATAATTAAATTACCACGTGACCTAAATGTACCAATATGCATGCTGTAAGTTTACTAGTCAACTTGGCAGCAAGGGTATTTTTCCTCAACTTAAAAGCATGGTTACATTCATTGTTGCCAAAAGTCAAAATGGAGATTAAAGAAAAAAAAACAGAAATCACATGTTCGGAACTGTTGGTCCTTTTATTATTTATATCTTTTATTTTTATGGAATATATATATATATATATATATATATAAACAGTATGTACTTCGAGATTAAGAATTTTATGTGAGATAACCTCCATCATTGAGAAATGAGCTAGAGTAATTTCTATGACGTTTGTTGTTTTAATATTATTGTAATTTTAAACTCATTTCATTGGAAGAAATTTGAGTTTTTTGTTTTTTTTGTTCTGTTGCTGACCAAAAGTAATATGTCCTATTTTCCTATTTCACTGTGTAAATGCTATTCCAACTTAATATTTATACCAAAAAGACGATTTCGGCTGATTGTTTGTAATAAAAGGAATTTTATTCTCGAGAGCGTTGTAAAATCCAGTCGCGTGGAATGGGGAAAAAACAACCTTTACAATTTTTTGACGTACGTGCTTCTGTCTAACGAGCAAACCACAAATCTGAATTATTATTTGGGTTTTATTGTTAAGCGTAAAGATACACAATTGAATGTCTGTACTGTGTCCTGTGTAGGAATCAAACTCCGAAGTTTAACGATGAGCCATCAGGGGACATTTAAATTTTAAATTGTGTTCTTATCTCATGAAAAAATACGAAATGCACAGATCTAACCTTTGGCTTTAAGGGCTTGGGTTAGACATCTGTACCATGTAAAGTTGAAAGCCTAAACTAGAGAGTGTTTCTTGTGTGTCTAAGGCGCGTAGAGACACGTGCGATTAATATTATTGACATCTACAAACGTTGTTGAAGTTGATGGAAAGTATCAGTTTCAAAATCACGTAAAAATTCAACCACATAAATTAATTAACAGCTTGCCAAGCCTACCATAAGCACAGTGAAACATTTAATTCAGAAATTCAGATACTGAGGTCTCAACTGTTTGGGCCTCCAAGTGGCTTAGCGGTAACTCTGCAGGCTCATAAATTAAAAAAAAAAAAAAACGATTTTCGATACCTGTGGTGGGCACAGCACATATAGCCAACCGATTGTGTAACTTTGATTTAACAATATATAAACAAACAAACAAATACAAATATACTATTTGGTTGATGTTTGATGTTGTTGTTTTTTATACTGTTCCCTACAAGCTGGGATTCTTCTGCTTGAAGATATAGAACATATAGAACGCCAACATTTTTCTTCCTGCTCTTCATTTCCAGGAGTTATTTGTATTTCAATTGAGCAAATGTCACAACCACTTCGTTACTGAGGCTGTATAATAGACTGTTAGCCTGTTTTAACTGAATGTAAGAATGTTGACGAGTACTTGTTTAAACTTATTCATATGCAACAGACACAACATCTGATTGACTGGAAAGTTTAACAACAAAATTTCATAGAACATCTTGTACATTTCATTTACAGAATATTGCGGAACTATCAACTTCCTAACTACACTTATCTACTGTGATCGTATTATATGAAAAATTTCTACCAAATATCTTAATCACAAGTCGCTGTGGAAATATATATATATATATATATATATATATGATTTGTTAAGCATTTTTTATTATTTAAAGGAAAGTTATTCCTAGAAATTCCATATGAAGAAGTTGTATGTTTTTGTGTGTGTACGTGAGATTGTTTTAACTGAATCTCTTTATTAAGTAATGGTTTCGTGAAGTTAGGATGCAACTGATATAAGCATTTTTCCTTAACGACCAAATTTTCCCTTTCTGATTGACTAATAACTGCTATGACAGCTGCAAAAATTTAATGGTACAGCAAGAAATTGTTCTCTCACAGTAGTTCCTCGACAAATTGTATATAAATTTGTGTAAAACAAATGATAGTGAAAATAAAATATTTGACTTTTGTATTTCTGAATGAAATATAAAATTAATCAGTCTCGGTAACATATACATCACCAGAGCATTTGTAGCCTTGTGTACCATAGCTGGAGATCTCCGTTCTTATACAGTAAAATAGCACACTCAGTTGGAAAAGTCCACCTACTGAGGGGATGAAAATTAATAATATGATCGTAAAGGTTTGCAATGGCATTAGTTCCCCTATCTTACTGAATTTAACCAAAGAGTTTACATGTTAAAAACTTTATGACTTACCTGATATATTCTTGTGATTATCTGCTTAATCAGAACTAAAGGTTTGAAATGACATCAGTTCCCCTATCTTACTGAATTTAACCAAAGAGTTTACATGTTAAAAACTTTATGACTTACCTGATATATTCTTGTGATTATCTGCTTAATCAGAACTAAAGGTTTGCAATGACATCAGTTCCCCTATCTTACTGAATTTAACCAAAGAGTTTACATGTTAAAAACTTTATGACTTACCTGATATATTCTTGTGATTATCTGCTTAATCAGAACTAATTAGGTTGTAAGCAGTTTTGTGATGACCAGTTTGTAAGCTCAAGAACTTCGAGTAACTTAATGTTTGAATTCTACGTATTCTACTTTGAGCTGAAGTTTTATATTTAAACGTGAAAATAACTATACTTGGTTGAATAGAATAAGAATAAACTGTTTTTCATGGATGGTTTGAATGTAGTGTTCTAAACTGAAACTTAAATCGATAACTCAATGATTTAATTAAGACCACAATAACAGGAATATTTTACGAAATGTATGCCCTGTTAAGATTTTATGGTCTGCCATCCTTTCTCCAGATGTTCGTTGGATACGGAAAACCAGGCCCTACAAAGGCGACATTTTAGACAACGAGAGAGCAAAATAAAATTCTTAAACTGTTTCTTTGTTTGTTTTAAATTTCGCGCAAAGCTACACGAGGGCTATCTGCGCTATCCGTCCCTAATTTAACAGTGAAAAACTAGAGGGAAGGCAGCTAGTCATCACCATTCACCGCCAACTCTTGGTCTACTCCCACGGCTTAAAGGGCGAGCATGTTTGGTGGGACGGGAATTAGAACCCTCAGATTGCGAGTCAAGCTCCTTAACCACCTGGCCATGCCGGGCCTATTAAACTGAAAAAGGCCTTTCTGCGACTCAAGAAGTCTCGTTTGAAAAACAAAAGTATTATATTTCCTGCGGTGATCATTGAATTTAATTATGTTCTCAGTTCTGTAGAGTTTCTGTTACAAACTAGAAAAGCTGATTGTCAGTTTAGAAGATTGTAAACATCATGAGTCGTTATTTTATCTTGACAACAAAGTGTCTTTCTTGTTTCATAGTGAAACAACTTTGTAAATCTCTTTTCGTTCGATCGTATCTGACTTATTCCCACTCTATATAAATTTTCTTTTTAAAAACAAAATAGAAATGAATTAGCCATGTAGCCATATTCAGACACTTGAAGTCCACAAAGAACCTTAGCATCCCTTTCTTCTTTGTCACAATCACTACTTAAAATGACCAAGCACTCTCTGATGAGCTGAATTACTCTATTCTTTAACCTCTACTCTATTTCAGCATTGGCAACATCACTGGCACTCCAAGAAGTATGTATGATGGTTGTTTAATTGGATGTGCGTTAACTGTGTCTATGTTGTTTTATCCAATCAACCAACTGACCTCACAAACGTATCAGCAGATATCACCAGCAAACATTTAAGGTCCTATTAATAATTTTAGTTCAAAACCTGGGCAATGCTCACATAGATCTCAGATACCCTGGTAACTAACTGTGCATTTGATATCAGTCAGTGTAGCTGAAATTATACTATCTATATAGACAGCTTCGGTCACTTCTGCCTCTCTCGTTGTATCGA